AGGACTTTGTTTTTCCTTTGGCCGTACTATTAAGGGGGGTATGGACTAGTAGCTTGACCTACGTGAGTCTAGTGGGTTAGGTGTGGTGCACACTTGTCAAATCTAACACTAGGTAGCTCCTAAATAGCTCTAAGATCAATTGGAGCAAACTTCATTCACATATGATTTTGAGTTGAAAGTGAATGGAGGGTCAAATATTGACCGAACGCTGGTTCCGGTGTGACCGGACGCTGCCAGTAGAGTCCGGTTAGTTCATTTAATCAAGCAGAAGTCGTCTGGTGGGACCGGACGCTGAGTGAAATGTAACCGGATGCTGGGTGCCAAAGTCCGGTCAACTCCAGTAAGGTTCCAGAGAGGGAGAATTCTGATCGGATGCGTCCGGACAGTGCTGACCGGACGCTGGTCAGGTTCCGGCTACTGACCGGATGCTGAGCAGCAAAGTGACCAGACGTTGGATGCCAGAGTCCGATCAACATCAGTAAGGGTACAGAGAGCAGTTTTCATGGCCAGACGCGTTCGGTCAATGCTGATCAGACGCTAGTCAGAGTCCAGCCACAACTTAACGGCTTAGTGGCGGGGAGAACTGACCGGAGCGTCTGGTCACCTTGACCGGAGTGTCCGATCACCCCGCAGAATGCTGACTCAAGCACATAACGGTTCGTTTTGAATGAGGAGGTATAAATACTTCATCTATTCATTCAAGGGAGTACTCTTGCCCATTTCAACAGCTGAGTAACACCCTTGAGAGTGCCAAGAAGAGCAAGAGCCTAGTGCGGTGATTGAGATTTGAGAATCCAAGATTAAGGCCTCATTAGTGAAAAGAGAGTAGCAAGTGTGCATCCACCCTTCTTATTAGGCCTGTTGTGGTCAAGTGAGAGTTCTTGCTTGTTACTCTTGGTGATCGCCATCACCTAGACGGCTTGGTGGTGATTGGGAGTTTGGTGATCATCCTGCGGAGCTTGTGGATGACCCAACTCAAGTTTTGAGCGGTTGTGGGTGATTCAATGCAACGGAGTGTCGAAGAATCAACCCGTAGAGAGCACTTATCCTTGCGCGGATCAAGGGGGAGATACACCCTTGCGCGGGTGCTCCAACGAGGACTAGTGGGGAGTGGCGACTCTCCGATACCTCGGCAAAACATCACCGCGTTCCTTCTCCTCTCTTTACATTAAGCATTTACATTTGAGCAATTCAATTCTTGTCTTTATATTCTTAGAATTGTCATGCTAGTGTAAGATTGGAACTTAGGGTGCTAAACTCTTGTGCGCTAGATCAATAGAATCACTTTCTAGGTATCAGGGGTGAAGTGGGCTAAGTGTAGGGTTTAATTATTATAAAGAATTTTAGAATTAGCCCAATTCACCCCCCCCTCTTGGGCATATTGGTCCTTTCAATTGCCATAAATACCTCCAACTTCTTAGAATCCTGGCGACCTAAAGTATCACCTTTTTGCTATTGTTTCAACAGGATTGTACAAACTACGCACAAGGCATTTCTCATGCAATAGTCCTCTCCTTCATGATCTGCAATGTAAATTCGTGAACTACACATAACTACTTCCACATTGGAATATTTTTCCTTGCTATGCCAAAATGAATATTGTTTTCAGCCTAAAATTCGGAGGCTCTCCTAAAATAATAAAAAGAAATTGGTTCAGAATGTACAAATGGATCAGGATCAATATACCTTCTTGTTTGTCATTTTTTAGTAAATCAATATAAAGGACACAGTGATACCTACTGATCAGAATCAGACATGAATTGATTATTATGTTATATTTAAACTATATGCTATAACATTTAAAATATTTACCTCCCCGGCACTCATTGAACATTAAAAAGAATATTTTTAAAGAAACTACGCTACATCCTATAGTATTTAAAATAGAAGTGCCTACCTCACTTTCAGTTGAAGTTTCCTCATTCTTATACGATGCTGAATCATTTTTGTCAGACGCTGTTTGATCTTGTGCACAATAACTTAGGCCAAAATTCCTTCATGACAAAAAAGCCAAGAAATTAGCAGAGGGCAAAATGTTTATAGAAGGTTCTAAATTTTTAGAATGTGGTGAGAAATAGAGAGCATACTTTCTTGTTTTCCGCTTCATTTCAGTTAGTGGCACTCGAAATAAACAGACATGCCAAACATCTCAAGTAGATAATACTGCAGATAAGCACAGGCACAACTGAGTTCAAATGGAAGTAAAAATTTCTGAGTGTCAGTTCAAACAGTAAAGCAGTGCACCAATTAGTATATCGTAGATGGAATCACTCTTGCCATCCACAAATATATTAATTGGTTAATCAAGGATTATATATGTCAGTGTAGTATTTATATCACTTAGTTAATAAATTTGACATCAACAATAGAGGAGTAGCCCTTGCCTGATGTGGCTGATTTGCATCTGCCTGTTGGAGGCTATGACATCTTTCCTTGGTGACTTTGCACTGGTGGTTCCGTGCAGTAGTGCAGCCATCGCCGCACACAGTTAGTATGCTACCGGAGAACTGAATCTGTCGATTGCAACCTCAGGTAAAGGGGTGAAGCAGGTGGTTGCTGCTGCCTGTAGTCATTGCGCCCGTGCACACAGCCACAGTAAAAAATTCAGAGTTGAACAATTTCAGAGGTGAACAGTGAGCTAGTTTAGATGTGAATATACTTGGTCAGCCTGATATCAATTCAGTAAACAATCTCTACATCTTGGGGAAGGAGGTCAATTTCAGAGGTGAACACTACTTTCAAAAGACCGCCAAAACCAACATCACTGCAGGATTATTAGTAGTAAATACCTAACAAAAAGAGGACCTAAGAACGATCAGCAACGCGATCTAACATCTTTGTGATATTATTACTGACAAAAAAAAACAAAAGCATCGCCAGCTCACCAGTTTGCTTCACACCGACACCACCCAAACTCTGCAAACACCACAAGCCCCAGAAAACGGTGCGCAAAGCCGGGCACACCACACTTAGGCAGGCCCCGGCTCACACACACACGCACAGAGAGATCGATCAACCATGCCACCAAGAGAAAATTAAGGCAACCCACCAAGCTAAGGGTACACTAACTTGTGTTTATTTGGTATGCCCAAGGCAAGAAGCAAATAGCTAAGGTGCTCTTAGCCAAACAAAGGTAAAAAAAAGAGAAAAAATAAAAAACAACACTATCCAGGAAGTAAGGTAGAACATACAGGCAAAGATCAAGATCCTCAATATTGATCAAAGCACCATTCAAAAAACAACACTATCCAGGAAGTAAGGTAGAACATACAGGCAAAGATCTAGATCCTCAATATTGATCAAAGCACCATTCAAAGCCATCAATGACTTGCCAGGAGGAACCATCCGCTGATTTGCAAAAAAAAGTACAGCACAATGATGTTCCAACGATCAATGGCTTCTGCTCTGTACCTAATAAACCCCACCTGGCCATCTGCTCCTTAACTCCCAATCATCTAGCCTCCCAAGACAGCAGCGCCCTCCCTCAACTCATGCCGGAGATGCATTAGCAGTGCAGCCGTGACAACACGTGAAGGCTCATGGCGAGGTTGACCTCTGTTTCTCATTGAAGATTTGTCAATCATCCTCTGAATCATTAATAAGGGATGGTCTTACTATATAGAGGCTGCTTTTCTCTATCTATTTTTTTATATCAAATGCATTACTTTATCGTTAAAGACATCATTCATCTTTTGTCTCCCATCCCAATAGTGCTGTAGATATAACAACAGCTTATAGCTTCAGTAAGACTGAAAATAGCAGGTCAAATTGCCAAGTCCTTAGTTCATGTACTTTGTTGTTTGCTCCCTCCAACACATGCACACCGTACATAGCCTAAGGAACAGAACAAATCTGCTACTCTGCTTCTTGTTTAAAAATGCCCATACAAATTTTTTTTCTCGAGCACGTAAAATGCTCATACAGTTCTCACCTCATATGCTAAAAACAGAAAAGTGGCTTGATCACAGTTAAAACTACACTTGCATATCCTGCTTCAAGCACAATAATTTTATGTGTTAGTATTGGGGCTCATGTAATAAAAGCCAAGTTACCCACATCGTCATTCCTTTTCACGGGCACCTCTTGCTCGTTGCCCCTCGTCTCAGCTTTGGCTGCCTTCTCATGTTCCTTATCCTCAGTAGTATATATAGTGCAAAACAAGAGTGGGAAATCTTCTCAAAATCAAGAAACTAGAAAGTTCAGAGTGATGTTTCATTGAAATAAAGGTTTCTCACCTCGAAGCAGACAGGGCAGTTGGGATGACATTGTTGTAGCAACACCTTGTTGGATGGCAACAAGGGCACCAGGTATGCAAATAAAATCTTTGTTGCACAACATGCAATGGAATATTAGTAGAAAGAAGTTTGTGCAGAAACTTACCACATTTATCACAGTGAAACAAGTTTATCACAGTGAAAAAAGTTATCTGCACCACCAGTTCTGAACAATTAGCAAAAGTTAGACTTTTGAGCGGTAAGTGGAAGACTGCCTGTCAGTATGGTAGTTATCTGCATATGGCACATCCATCACAATGGTATTGGTCATTTGAGACCTGGAACAGAACAGTGTTAGATTAGGAATCACAGTGTTAGACTACCTGTTAAAATCAGGCATACACGCATACTGCCCCCCAAAAAACATATACTCCAATATTTCTTTAACATATCAACATAGCAACTCATCCATATTTTCAAGAGAATTCTTCGTTATCTAGAAAAGGTAGGAATATTTAGGTAGCCATTATATGCCAATACGAAGACGAATCAGGCATATATACTGTACTCTCAAAAGAAAAGAATAAAATGTGATTGCTTTAGCCGATTGACATCTCAAATTCACTGCTAGTCTGCAACTATGTCCAGGTGCACCTGTTGGGGCACATCACTTGATCTAGATAGCAAACACGACACTAATCATATCCAATTCCAGGTCCAGGTCATCAATTATGCAGCAGTCAGATCTTGTTCAATTAGATGTAAAATGGAGAGCGATAGGGGGAGATGAACCGAACAAAGACCACGCACCTTGGCATCGTTGTGGCATTGGCGGCAGCAGGGCGCCATGACGCTGCATCCTTCTGTAATGCGCACACCTTTTGTCAAGGCAGACACAAGAGACGTGCGACGTTGGCCACGGCGCACGACGGCGAGGACAGCGGACCGCTTGATGGCGAGGACCACCTATGTTTCCGGCGTCGTGAAGGGGGTGGCGTGTCCGGTGGCGTCGAGACGGCGGCGCGGCGGTGTCGAGGCGTCTGCCGGCAGCAGGCTCTGCTTCGCAGCGGGGAGGGAAAGGAGTCGTCGGCATCGGCAGATCGGGGCGGGGACCGGACGCGGATTGGGGCGGAGCGAGAACGACGGCGCGGGTCCTTCTCCTTCTCGGTGAGGCGGCGGAACGGTCTTCTCGGTGATCCGCCGGCCGTGAATCGGGGATTGATGAGCGCGGGCGAGGACGACGGCGCTGGCGCGAACGGCGAGCTCGATGGCACGAGTGCGACGAGCGGCTTCGCAGCAGGGAGAGAGGCATGGGCGAGCGTCTACGTTAGCGTCAGCGAGTGGAAGGCAGCGTGGGAAAGGAGGCGGCAGCGTGAGCATGCGTGTGACGGAGCGTGATTGAAGCGGGATCGTGGGAGGGGATGGAGCGTGATTGGGAGATGGATCGCAGGATCGGTGGGCAAGCGCTGGCGCAGAGGGCGGCGGCGGCGCGCGCAGCTGAATTTTGTCGCAAAGGAAGGGGGAAGGAGCGAGGGAGGGGTGCGGGATCGACTTTCCTTCCTTTTTAATACGTCGGGGTGAAGCGTGATCGTAGGAATTTTTTAGTTGTACAGTGATATAGAAACAGAGATAGGGAGTAATTGATCTGCCGTCCATCAAATCAAAGAGCCAAATAAGGAGAGAGACATTGGAGATGCCAGCTCTTTGCAAATTGACAAACCTCAACGTATAATAATAAGATATACATACATCACTACTGGACTCGCATGGCTCTCGACAAAGGATCAGAAACTCTCGGCAAAGACTTTGCCGGGGGCTGCTCTCGGCAAAGACACCTCGGGGAATTTTTAGACGGCGAATGGGTCTTTGTCGAGGATCCTTTATCGGGCACTCGGCAAAGCCTGTGCCGAGGGCCAGGACGGCCCTCGGCATAGAAAAGAAGCCGTCACGCGCCGGCGCCGTTGGCGGTTTCTTTGCCGAGGGCCGACCCTCGGCAAAGAAATGGTTTTTTTTTGAATTTTTTTGCCGAGGGCCTCCTCCCTTGCCCTCGGCAAAGAAATTTTCAGGATTTTTCCCAAAAAAATCTTTGCCGAGGGCTATTGCAAGGGCCCTCGGCAAAGGTTTTTTTTAAAAAAAAATTGTTTATTGAGAGCCGGCCCTCGGCAAAGAAATAGTTTTTTTGAATTTTTTTTAAAAACCTTTGCCGAGGGCCTGCTCCCTGACCCTCGGCAAAGAAATTTTCAGGATTTTTCCAAAAAATCTTTGTCGAGGGCTATTGCTAGGGCCCTCGGCAAAGGACCCTTCTTTGTCGAGGGTCTTGGTCATTGCCCTCGGCAAAGAGACAGAAATTTAAATTTTTTTTTGTTTTTTGCATTTCATCGACACAAGCATTTCATATATATACATATATATATCACACAGAACCCATTTTCTCACAATATATCACAACCATAATTGTGAACCACAAATCACAATATATTACAACGACAAGTCATATGTTCATCATCATTCACATGTTTATTACGACAAGTTAATGAAATCCAAGCACAAGTCACAACCATAAATCACAAATCACGCTAAAGTCCAACCACATCACCTAGCACGAGTCCTCATCAAGCTAGCCTATGAGACGATGGTGAAGGAAAAGCAGGATCACCCGGTGACGCACTAGCGGGTTGATTGGAACCCGCGGACGGAAGCTACACAAAGGAGCAGAGATTACATGTGTGAGTAATCCTGGAAAATAGTTTTGGAACTTAGAGATTGCATCTAGTAATCTAGGAATACAAAAAAGATTAGACTCAATTGAAAATTTCAGCAGCACCTCCCCTACACGGAGAGGTTTCCAAAACCTGCAAGAAACGACGGCACGAACGCCGACATCCACAACGACACGAACGCCGACATCCACAACGGCACGAAGGCCGACATACATGCAAAGCACAAGCGAAAAGTGAACTTTCATACTTACAGGAGTAGCTGCAGGAGTAGGAGGTGGAGGAGCTGAAAACTGCACAGGTACACCCGATGCTTGCCCAAGACTTTGCATGATCACCATAATCTCCGCCATCTGCTTCTTGCCCAAGACCTTCTGGGCCTGCAGCTGTGCGGTCAGCTCCGCGTTCTGCTCTTGACTTTGCCTTCTTGTTTCTTGCAGCTCGGCCTGCAATATTTCACTCCAATGTATCAGTAATGCAAATCTAATTTAGGTGTGTAAATATCTACGTACGACGAGTAAAACAGGAATTACCTGGAGTGCTTGGACCTGCTGTAGTGCTAGAGAAGGCCGTGGACGTATGGGCTGGCTAGAGCTCGTGCTCCGTGCTCGGATAGCGTCGAGGGAGGGAACAATGGTGGAGTCGATGGCGCCGTCTGCAATCCACAGCTGCCCGTGCTTCTTGCCTCCTCCGAGCCTCATGATCGCCTCTGCATCAACGGGCTCAGTGCGCATATTGTAATCTTCCCCATAGATCTCCCTTACCATTGACGTGTACTCTTGGACTTTAATGTACACGTTCGGGTTGGAGTACGCCTAGGGCAGGGCAGCTGGGTCGAAGGAGACAGAGGATGACGCCCTGCCCATGTGGGACATAGCCCACACAGAGAACTCTGAGACCTCCTCGCCCGGGTGCGCAGCCTCCTACGAGAAAGATGGGAAGACGGTGAGAAATCAAGCAGAATTGAGCGTCAAAATAAATGAAAGAAATCACTTACGTATGCTTGTTTGTATCCGGGGAGACTACGGTTGCCTTGATGGTGAGTTGGACCTTGCCTCATCAGACGTTGTTCCCGCTGCCTCTCGTGCGTGTATTTGACATATAGGAAGATGAAATTGAACCTACTTAATATCAAAATGAATCATTATGAATGTTATTCGCCTACTTCAAGGGACTGCCTAAGTACCGACCTATAGTAGTCTATGTGGGCCTAGACGCGGCCATGGTGGTGCATCTCAGTGACATACTTCCTACAAGCTGCGGCAGCCGCCCGATCCGCCTGGGCCTCAAGTCCTTCTTCGGCCTTGAAATATTTCTGCATACAAAACCGATGTATCCATTTATTATTTTAATAAAAGATTTAACCAATGAATGCGATGTATTAAGCAATGTTGTGCGAGAGAGACTTACCCAAAACTCCACCAATACTCGCTCCTACTTGTTGCAGTAAGTGTCATCCGTGACCAGCGAGTACCTGTCCCAGTTGGAGGCCGGCTCCCGCACCACCAGCTCTTCGAACAGTTGCACAATGCCGGGGTACCATTTCCTGCACAAAACACCAAGGATGCTGCGCGGGGGTGCGTGCTGGAGTACCCGACAAAACCAACCAGGCCCTGCACAAGTGATTAAGAAAATTTATTAGTTTCTCTTAAGATTTCCAACATATCTTATGAAGTAGTTGTGATAACATCCATAGTTACTTACCTCTTTGCCATAGGCCGAATCACTGGGCGGTTGTGAGGAAGCGGAACTGGAGGGAGGCTCGCGGGACCTCGCTCGTAGAGAGTCCGGGTAGCGGTACCCTCTCCCTCGCCCTTGAGTGCCTCACCTCCCTTGCCCTCGAGCGCCTCGCCTCCCTCACCCTCGAGCGCCTCATCTCCCTCGCCCGTCTGCTAACCCCTCTCGTCCTCCGATGAGGACGAGGCCGTGGCCGTCACGTGCTCCTCCTCCAGCACCTCGTCACGTGTCGAGGGAGGAGACCGCTGCCTCCTGCGGCGGCTGCCCCTGGTCCTCCTCTCGTCACCTCCTGCGGATGCTGCCCCGGACGACGACCCCTCACCTCGAAGGAGAGGGCGGTCTCTCCCGTAAACCGAGGGCGTGTCACGGCATGGACGTCTACTCACCATCTTTGTCCAATCACCTGCAATCACAAAGAATGAACAAGACTAATTAGTACATATATGAAAAATAGATTCAAAATATATAAACAAAACACAAATTAAAAAACCATAGTATTACATGTATTAGGAATAATCTTCATGATTGGGATCATAGGTCTCATCATCACTGTCAAAATTGTCCAAATGGGCAACACTATCCGAAGGTTCTATGTTGTCATCGTTGTCATTACCTAGAAGTAATCGCTCAAGCATTGCTATGTCCTTGGCATTTACCACCACATCTCCATCAACCTCATCATCAACCGTTTCGTTGTCTACTTCCATTTCGATTGCTTCGGGTAAGACTATCTCAAACGTGCATGGTAGCCCATCTTCTTGATAGAACTGTCCATCATATGTGTTTGCGTTGAAGTTGTAATCATCATCGTTTGGGGCAGGTAGTTTACCATGTGGAGATACCTGGTGCACAATAACCCAACCCTTAAGATCCTCTTTGTCTTGGTTGGCGTATCGAGTATAATACACTTGCATGGCCTGTTGAGCCACAATGTAGACATCTTTTCCAGGATAGATGGAATCTTCTCGAATCTCGACTAGCCCAAGATGAGGGGTTCGTCTCGTTGATCGAGGATTAAACCAGTGGCATTTGAACATGACAGGTTTAAGAGGTTCGTCTTCATGAAATGAGAGTTCATAGATTTCCTCAACTCTACCATGATAGTCGAGGCCATCAGTGCCGGGTGTACAAACTCCGCTATTTGTGGTTTTTTGTTTGGGTCGAATCTGCTTGTAACTTGTTGTGTGGAAGCGATATCCGTTCACGTCATAGCCGGTAAATGACTTCACCCTAACGTCACAGCCGTTTGCAGCCTGTTTCAACTCGTCACTCATGGACGAATCGGTCTAGGCCTGCAAGGTGAATCATGATAGATCGTTATATTAATCAAACGTACGATCACCTTGGACGATCGAACGTACGAGCTAAATTGGACATTACCTTTTGTTTGAACCAAGAAATGAAATTAGGCCTCCCCGCTCCCACACCCCGCAAAACAAGGGTGTCTTGTTCATGCGAGGTAGGATCCCTTGATTGATGCCAGAATTCACGAACAAATTCCCTGTCCGAACGAGAATCAATGGGGTTGAATGCAGAATAGTGACGGCATATTGAAATAAGTTCGTTGAGAACTTACTTGATGAACGGCTGCACCTCGGTAAGGTTATTCAACACATATAGCATGATACTGCGCCACTCTTCATTTTCCAATAGCTTTGGGGTTGATCCACTTGCGCTGCCAAGTTGGCCTTGGAAAAGGCTCAGGGTCGATTCATTTTCGCTAGTATTGTAACGAGGGGGTGGATTATGATTGCTAGGAAGGTTCGGCTTATAGTATAGCGTTGTGAAGTTTGCCACCTCCTCCCGAAGGCATGCCTCTGCAATGGAAGCCTCAATTCTGGCTTTATTTGTACATTTTTTACAAAGAGTCTTTAGACATCTCTCGATTGGATAGCACCAACGGGCCTGCACGGGCCCCCCAAACATGCCTCGGATGGGAGGTGC